GAACTCTAGAACTCTTTGAGAACTAACCAGAAGACTGAAAAAATACGATTTTCTAAAAGATGGTGGGCTGACGCTGTCACGTGCCGTGCCTTTTTGAATTTGGATCTCGCACACACATATATACGAACGATGATGCAACAGAGAAACCACGCCATTTCGGAGATGCCGACTACAGCAATATGTGAGGAAGCCAGCTTCCGGTCTTATCACACCAAGAACGTGCCTAAACGTGTGAACTGAAAATCCCAGGATTCACGCGAGCGGGTAAAACCGCTGAATTAGTAAGATTTGCCCCTACCTGTCCACCTACTTTCAGCAGAAAGTAGGATGGATCGGGGAAGGCAAATCAGTCTCCAGATATACACCAGAGCGCATAGTTCGGTATAGATCACTGAAAATCAAGTAGTATCAAGTAGTCTATGCGACGGAAGCCGGCGACGTTAAAGGAGGCTTTTCATATAGCTCAAAGGTTTGCCGATAAAGGCGAACGTCGAAAACGCCGCAAAATAATTCCCAGTCGTGAAGGAATAGCTCCTCACAAATTGCATCGCGCGGCGGCTATTATTCTCACGGGAGTTCCGCGTACTGTTATCTATCGCCGTTTGTAAATCGATTAAGACGTATCGAGCCCTACGAGTTGCACGCGTAGCGTATTAGTCAATGTGAGTTTAGATATTAGTATTCTGATTTTTGCCACGAACAATACTGTCGTGTAGTTTAAGTGATTACTAAAGTGAAGGATCTCGAGTCGTGAGAAGAAGAATTCCGAATACCAAGGCAGCGTGGGCGTCTAACATTGCACGCCGAATGAACATATGAGAGTGAGTACGTAAGAGTGAGTGTGGGCACGGCATTATAAGATCTTTGTAAACCTAGCTGTAGGACCATCTGGCACTTTCTTTATTTCCATTTAATAACTAGCATATAAGGAAAATTGGGTTGTAACAATTTATTCGAATCATTTCATTGGGATTACTGCATGTTTGATTTAAATAGACCATACACCGATTCCTCCACCTAACGGCAATCCAAAGGACCGGGCCTGTATAGGACGGCAGTCAAGAACTTACCCAGAACAAAAATAAATATAAACTTCCACGCGTAGCGTGGGAGATTAACTTCGTTAGACGTGTAATAACGCCCGGCACGTCACGACGCATTGTTTCAAAGTTAATTTTCAAGCGGATAATGACCGGAACTATTGATAAAAAGTACAGAGAACTGTGGAACTATTGTTAATCTATTCAGAACTCCCAAAAGAATTACATTTTTTCGAGAATGATGGGCGCCGTGAAGTTAGCCTCTCATTTTTTTAAATCGCGATTTTCCACATTTAATCGACAGAACTATTTCAAAAACCATCAGGAACTCTAGAACTCTTTTGCGGACAGTCAGAACTCCAATTATTTTTTTGAAATGAGCATAATGATGGGCTAACTTCACAGAGGTTAAGAACCTATTTGGCGGACGATTGGTTTATCTTTGGATTCCGCGACAGGGGAACGTCATGGTAAGCGAGTCCACTTGACTTTTGTGAGCGACATAACTTTGTGCAAATCTTGGTATTTGTACAAGACACAATGGGGTTAGGCGCGATTGAAAAGTAAATGTGTATATATTTTTTTTTTATTGCTCTATGCCTAGATAGCTCCAGGTAGCTCACTCACCAATAAAACCCCTTTTTCCATTTCATCACGCCTTTATAATCGTTCCCCCTTGCTAGTAGTTCTGGTTCCCTCTTATTCCTTGCCCTCTCTCTTTTCAGGAGGGCCAATGACACGAATTGTGTTCAAACGCGAAATCGACCACGGTGGTTTCGCCTGTTTCCCTAGCGGCCCCGGGTCACAAAGTTCCCCGTGCACGCGGTGACCTTCATAGACACTAGGAGACGGGTCTCCTGTCGAGGTCGATCCGAGCCGGCTTTGGGATTATGCAGCCACAGAAACCTCATGGTTATTTGCGCACGCTAGGCTACGCCGCCGAGTGTCGACTACTTTCTTTCAAGGACACACGGTCTTTCCCTGACATGACAATCTTTCCGCTTCGGCCGTCCACCCGTCGTTCGTGCATCCGTAAGCCAGGCGGGCGCCAGTCAATTCTTTTTTTCACCGGGAACTGACGAGCCGGTATAAACTGGGAGTTGGGATGGAACAGGCCCAACTCCACCAAGAACGAGAGCTCTGACGGAACCTATCAGAAGAGGCGATAGCTTAACGGATCCTGTCGATTTTTGGGGACGCGTAAAATCGAGAAACGCAACCGTAGGTGCTGATCTTTGGGGTCGCGTAAAATCAGCAAACGCAACTGGATACACGAACGGGAGCGGACGGTTACGGAAATGCACGGCCGCTGAGGCTGCTAGGTTTGAGGTAGAGAGGGTCGGAGTAAGAGTCCGGCAAATAGTGCGAGCGACAGAGAGCGACGAACCGAGAACGTATCAGAACGAATCTTAATTGCCTATCGATATCCCTTCACCAATTAATAAATTGGGAATCCTCATCGGAGCTGGTGCAGCTAATCCGTGGAGGCCGATGACTGTATCCAAAGGACACTGGTGAGCACTGCCCTAAGGCACAGCACTACACCACCGTAACACTCCCAGGAATTCATAGAATTCCTGGATATCGCGAGAACTGTACGAATCGAGAACTTCCTATACCGTAGCGAAACACGGTAAGAAAAACTATCAACAGATAGCACGGGAGCACGAGCCAGCCCGTGGCACCTCGGTCGGTGCCCCGAGACAGACTGCTTTGACAATAGCCAAATTCGAGAACTAATCATTCTGATTGGTCGAGAGCCTTATAACCGATAACTCTTCTATCTCCTTCGAGTCGTCCCTTTAAACCAAATCGAGAGCGTTCCTTAGCGAATCGGTACATAATCTTTGGAGATCCTCCACGGCCGCTTCCCCAGGGCATCGGGCGACAGCTGGGCACCACATCCTTAACTCGGGCAGGAGGTTCCTCTCCTGCCCTTAACCATATCAAAACTTCCTCCGCCCGCTCTACAGCCCTTTGCCCATCTCCAGCGGGGCGCCGGTATCTCACCCGGGCTTCTGCCGGTCCGTGGAGACGTCTCCGTCGGGTACTCTCCTCTGCCGGGCAACTCGGTACGTCGAGACTATATCCCCATGGCAGATTCGAGCACCTCGACCTCAACTAAACAATGACAAAATCTTACGAGAGCCTTGACATAACTGTACGAATCAACCCGAGAGCGTAGCTTCTGAGCAGGGTGGCGACCCGAAGAGAACCAGAAATCGAGAACGTTATCTGTATCGGTAACCGGAGCCGCCTTGGGATCGTGATTCGAAAAATCACGTCACAACATTTACAAAGGCAGTTTCATACATCATGTGTGAACATAAGTATACAAAACAGCTACAAATTCAACGCTATGTTAGCGGAACCGTAACGCAAATATAAAACGCAACTATGATCGCAACTAAGAACGGAACTAAGAATGGAATTAAGAACGGAACTAATCGCAACTAAGAACGCCTGATATACTTATTCTATATTTTACAGTATTCGATTTGATTTTTTGTCCGTCAACCGGCAGGGTTCACTGTTTGGATTTTAGTTTCGATATTATTTTTGGATTGGAACTTGATAACGTTCTGTCGAATTATTTCGTGTCGTTTCGCCCGTAAGGAACTGTAACTTTGATTTTGCAACGCGTAGAGCGCGTACAGGTCCTTGACGGTCGATTAGCGTGTTGTGGTAAACGCGGATTAGCCGCGTTACGATTTTAATTTTGAATTCGTACGGTACGCGAAGTACCACGTAATACCTTTCGATGGTCCTTCTGATTTTTTTGATCTATTTGGTTTACTTGAATTACTATTTTTTTTTATAACCAATTCGGCATTGTACTAAATCGTCGGGCTTCGCGCTAGCGAGTTTTGCTTTAATAAACCGAACCTTTTAATATCAGATCGAAGTCTCCGGATTCTTTTATGTGTCGCGTGATCGTCTGACCTATCCGACCTATTGTTCCGAATCCCGGTGCCTCCGCGTAGCTAAGTTAGCCAACGAAGGCACGCGCAGACGAATCGTAGGAATTGATACGTGGTTTGTGTTTTGGAACCTGGCGCCCAACAATACTTTAAGTATTTCGAGTGTAGAATTTGTTAACTCCTGGGTTGCCTGGAACGCGTAGGAATTGCGTAAGTTGTGCGCCGGTCGGTCTTGCATTTTCCGGTGAGGTCGATCGCGTAAAATATACGTCACAGCATATAGATATAATTATTTTTTGCGTTCGTAATTGATAACAATCATACGTTCATGTAATATCGTTGACATAATGGCGCGTGAGCCTATTCTTGCAAGATCTCTTGCTTTGTACATGAATTCCAAAATGTTAAAAATGGAGTGAATATCATATAAAATCAATTTCCATAAGATCTGTGCAGGATCCTTTACAGGAAAAATTGTGAGAATTTAGATGAATCAGTAACATTTGTAAATTCACTTTCTGAAATCTTATTTAACCCATCGCATTGTAGTTTATGCTGTATGCATAATTTAACCTTTTGAAGCATACATTTTTCCTTACGAGTGATTTATTTGAAATTTGGTATTTGAGGATTTTTGAGGTGACTAATTGTGAATGCGAAGTCAAAATCCAGAAATTCCAAATGGCAAATCCAATACAGCAGATTAAAATGCAAAAAATAGCTTGATATGAAAATCGTCATTTCAAATTTTTTAATTTCGATTCCAGGTTGCTAATCAGCAACCCCAAAAACACCGAATACCGAATTTCATCCAAATCTAGTTACTTTATTACATTTTGATTCGCCATATTAGATCCGCTGTTTTGAATTCCTTATTTTTAATTTAGATTCGTAATCAGCGACCTTAAAAGTCTCTTCCTATCAATTTTTTATTTGTGTTTTACCTGATTAATTTGTCAAAATTACGTTTATTATGTAAATAATGTTTTTTACTTTTTGTTTATTTATAGAATTCATTGGATATTCACTGTTTATTTACAGTATCCGAACGTTAATAATTATTTTTTATTAGTAATTAATTTAACAAATACATATACATATGAAATCATTGTCTGTCATGCGTTAAAAAACATGTGAAAATCGTGAAAAACCGAATTGTAATAGATGATATACGGATATATCACTATGCTTCAAAGGGCTAATATCAAAAGGTTACAGTTTCTATTACTTTTATGATCAAAGTAGGCTTTTGAATGATGTGCATAAACTCAATACGCCATGCCAAGGAATTCAACTATTGTTATAAATATTCTTGTACCAATTCTTTTATTCTTGTATCAATTTGATTGGTATTATTTTTAGAACTACCACGCAAAACTATAGTTCTCAGCGTACAAGATTTCGCTGCTTTAACGCAGAAAGTGAAGCAAACTAATCCACAACAACCATTGAAAATAAAAGCACTACCTACGAAGAAATCTAACAAGGTGTCTAATCCAGTAAATAGTCATGGATCACGATCCATGAAAACAGAACAGTTGAATACAATTAAATACGCTTCACGAAGTCCAATGAAGATCGTCAATTCCATTTCAAATGTTCAAACGCAAACCAGACATACTCCAGTTAGTATAACGAATGCCTCAATTATGATGAAACATGACGATACAACCGGCTGTATGCCTCTTGTAGTGAGGAATGAAAACTCAACTTCCACACCGATGATGCTCCAGAATGAAAATCCGGAAGTAATGCATCTTATTGGCAGCCAAGAATGCAAAATTAAGGCACTTAAGAGGCAACAGCGAATGATAAAGAATCGAGAATCAGCTTGTTTATCGAGAAAAAAGAAAAAAGAATATATAGCATCATTAGAGAAACAAATATTCGATCTACGACATGAGAACAGACAACTGAAAGTGGTTTGTATTAATAAATTGTTTTGTATAATGCTACTTAATTTTAAATACATATCATTTTTTCCTATAGGAGAATACGGCGTTGAAACAAAAATTAAACGCTTTCGAAGAAATGACGAGAACAAGCAACAAATTCAATAACCTGAATCTTAACGTTAACAAAAAGAATACTGCTATATTGCTTGCCATGATTTTTATGGTGTCCCTTAATGTGGGTAGCTTGAGGTGAGTTCATTTATTTACCACCATTAATGAAATTGTGATGTTTAATAGTAGGCAAGATATTATAGTCGAGCACTGTTACTAAAGAGCACTTTACTAACAAGGAAGGAGAGAGAGAGAGAGAGAGAGAGAGAGAGAGAGAGAGAGAGAGAGAGAGAGAGAGA